TATATATATATACAAGCGCGACATATTAACGTTCCTCTTGCTATACTTTTTATATTTAATTTCGAAAGAAAGAAATTTTAGAAATTAACTTTCTTGACAAATAGAGGCGCACTATTGTAACATATCTGTAATTTGCTATGCGCAATATTTTTAATCCTCTATCGGCAATGAGAATTTTTGAGTCTTCGAACTGCAATGCAGATTTTTGCACCATCTTGGATCGTATAAGAACCTTCACAAATTCTTATATATGTGAAAGCTTCAACAAGTTATTATTATTATTATAGAAGAATTGGATCGTATTTTACTTATTTTTTACAGATTTATATTTATCAAAATTCATGATAAAAAAATTGACTATGCCTTTAAAGTTTAACATTGCTGGCAAAAAATTAAATTTTTAATCGACAAGTCGATATTATATTCCTGTGTTACGATTTCCATTTTTGTACTAATTTGCAGTATCAAATTAAAACACAAACATTTTATTTGCAGGCTAAAGCGATGTTATCGAAATGGAGTTGGATTGTTTTTAATCTTATTGTTTATGTAACCACTACCTCACACGGAGAAACTCTCTCGGAGAATGAAGCTAAAGCTAAAGCTGTGATCGCATTTATCGAATTAGATTATGAAGATGTATGTTACGACATTGCCAATGTTAAGTGGCCATTTATCTTGTCACCTTCCAATAAAACACTGTCAACATGGGTAAATATATTACTATTTAAATTATTACTTAATAATAATGATTTGTTTTTCTATAAATAATAAATTAAATAATAAGTATCTGTCTTGTTATATTTTAGGAAATACAGCAATATAATTATGCAGGATTTACGAAAGCGCGAAAAAAGGAAATAATCGAAATAAAAGATATAAAAGAACAATTGAAATCATCTCTTCGATATAAATATGACATGATTGAAAAACCTGGTGATGCATTACTAAAAAACGAAGATTGGAGAAAGGTAAGAGACACTTTTCAATTTTACAATTAATAGTTTATATAATTCTTTATATTATTTTATAATTTACAGTTTATTCATTTCGTTGGCACCGTGGAATTGCAACGATCAATTATCAATTATATTAATAAATCGCAAAACTATTCACGAGAAGGTATAGTTTTATTGTTTTAATCACATAAAAAATGTATCACATAAAAAAATAAGAATTATTTCTCATTAACGAATGTCCCATGTTATGATAGATATTTAGTATAGTAGTTATAAACCAACTGTATAATACAACTATTGTAATTATATAATTTTAGGTGTGGAATATTTATTCTCTCATAGTAGAAAATTAGAAGATAAACAAACTGCTTGGAATGCTTGGTATCGCCAATTTATGCCATTAGTGACAAATTATTCAAACAATTTGCTACTCGTTGTTGAAGCTGCAAAACAAAATGGTTAGTGTAAATATAAGGATTACATAGATCATTTATATATAAAATATAATATTATTAGTGTACGTGTTAAACATTTTGAATGAGAATAATATTCAAATATATTTAATTGTAGGTATCAACAATGTTGAGGAATATTGGGAAATGCTGTCAGGATACTCTGGCGGATACGGCAAAATAAATAATGAGTGGAGTCGGATTAATAATCTTCACAAGAAGATTGTCAAATTTGTCGGTACAAACTTGGCTCGAAAGTACAATATTACTATAAATGATACACTTCCGGCTTATTTACTCGGTAAGCTAACAATAGTGTACATAGAAATAGCAAACAATTGATAAGTTGGTTAATTTTTGTAACTTTTATTTTTTATTCTACTGTATCACTTGAATTTTTTATGATTCCATTCGAAAGATAGCTTACAAGGATACGATTGGACAGATGTATCATCAGATGCGTTACCCTACTCAGAGTTAATCTATGATCTGAAAAAAAATCTTTGGAAAAAGGTAGGGATTGCTATTTCATGTTTATGTTAAATTTACAGATTATAATCAGATTTTCAGTAGTAACACTTGAAATTTTTTGTTAAATTATATAGAAATATGTAGGAAAATCTCTGTACAACACTGCATCCAGTTTGGGTTCATTACTATTGAAACAAGTTCCACAAGCAGAATTTTGGGATAAGAGTGAATTTAATCAACAGTGTCCATCTAGATTGTTAAACTTTTATCGATATAAATATACAATGAGGCATGTACATCGAAATATACGATTTTATTATATACATTTCCTAGATGATATGCATATCTAAAAGACATCATTTATGATGTCTTTTAGAGTTTACTTAGTACTACGTATTATTATTATGTATTAATAGCATCACACAATTTAATAGTATTTTGCTAAATTGAAATATTATTTTAGAGTTTCTACTTGTTCCAAAGCCACAATAAGCAATTTCTTGGTAGCACATGAAGATGTTGGTAAAGTACTATTTAATCAAATGACTGTAGAAAACACTCCAGTTCTCGAAACAGTGAACAGATATTCTGGTAAGAAAATATTAATTTATTCGACATACGTGTCAATGGTCATAAAAATGTTAAAATAGCATTCGACATTAAAGATATCTGGTCTTATAGGATTAGAAGAAGGTATATCAACACTATTTGGAATACTATCGGCAAGTCCTGCATGGCTCAATCATACTCATTTAATGAATAATATTAAGGATGATCAGCAACGAATGATTGTATCTTTAACTATAACTGCCTTGAATATATTTCCACGATTAGCATATTATTACTCCGCTGATTTATGGAGATTAAATGCAATTCGAGAAAATATTACAAATCCAGCAGATTTGATAGCATCTTGGTGGAAGTACAGGTAGGTATTGTAGGAAAATAAAGAGAATTCTAAGATCATTTAAAAATATACGTAGACGTTCGAAATGATTATGATAACAGTGGAGCGTTGTTGGCTTAGCACATAGTAGATTTGTAAATGAGAGATCTCAAGTTCAAATTTTATTAGACTCTGTTAATTTATTCGCCGGCTCTCCGACAGTACAGTAATAATACAGTACATATATAATACTTATTAGAAATCGATATAATTTACACAACTATAATATCTAAAGTTTTAATTTTCTCTGTTAGGCAAGAGTATGAAGGTATCTCTTCTATTGATATGGATTACCCTACCTTCATAGACGATAGTCATGTTGTTAGAAATAAACCATATCTTTCGTAAGTACTAATTAATTTTTATAAATATACATAATTGTATTATCTATCACAGTAATAAAATAATGAAAAATATTTTTTATTTAATGCAGCAAAATTCTTGGCATAATGCTATCTTTTCAATTATATGAATATAACATGGATTCGACAGAAATTAGATATAATTTTGATGGAAAATTATTGAATAAGAATATAATGTAAGTTGATATAAAAAATATACGTATACACGTTCTTAATGCATTTAATGAATAAATTTGTCTCGATAAACTTTTAATTTTATTAACTTTTCTATGTCTGTATATAGAAAAATGATTCAACATAGTGGAACCCGCGAGTGGCAAGATGTCCTAAATAAATTCGTTGATATAGACGATATATCTGCAGATGCACTTATTCAGTATTTCACACCGTTAGAAGAATTTATTGAAGAAAACGAGGAAAACTTCGAATACAAATCTGGAGCAACAGCAGAAAAAGAACTTGAAGAATTGGAGAAACATACCTTGCGAGAGATCAACACTCCTACTACAACGCCTCCGAGTTCTACTACCACACACAGTATAACAACAAAAGCATCATACAAGATAACAAGTAACACGAAAAATATGCAGTCAAAAGTAGAAAAATCTTTAGAATCTAAATCGTCCATATACATGGAAGATAAGCCGAACAATTCTGGATCCGACTTAATAACTCAAGTTTCTTTCAACGAATCCTCATCATCGATGCCCGATATTTTGAACGACACAGAAAAAAGTACACCAAAGATTAGTACTAGTAAAGCGGTATGGGCCACAAGCGCAGTTCTCATTGCGATAATAATCATCTGTATCATTGCGATTTTCGGAAGACAAAGATGTCGTAAAACGCCAAAAAATAGACGATACGTTTAGCAGTATACATTTTTGTTAATAAACATATTTATTTTTCGCATTTAGGCATTAAAAGAATTTGATCATGTAACTTATTATCACAACAATTCCTCTGGGAGTTATTTTCTAATCGTTCTTTAGTATTCGACATCATGCATTCCTTGATAATCGTAATGCGTTCCTTGTATTTTTTTTTCAACATTACTAACAATCAACCAGCTCAATCAAATTTGCCTTGTACCTCTACCTCCAAATCTCATTCAGGAACGAGCTTTTAGCTATTTCCTGTTATGCCTTCGTTTAATGTTATAAAAGTTTTGACATTAAATATATTTCTCGATGGATTTATCAATTATTCTATTCTAGAGTAATTATATAATAACAATTTGTATGAATAATATTGAGCACAAAGAATCCTAAAAAATGCGATTACAAATTTTGCACCTATCATATAACTTTAATATGTACACAAAATATGATTGTATAACATACAGATATGTATATATATATATATATATATACATATGATTGTGTACAGATATATATATATTGTAT